AGTGTGAGTGAGTGAGCGAGTGTGAGTGAGTGAGAGAGTGAGCGAGTGTGAGTGAGAGAGTGAGTGTGTGTGCGCGTGTGAGTGAGTCTGAGTGAGTGAGCGAGTGAGTGAGCGAGTGTGAGAGAGTGAGTGAGTGAGCGTGTCTGAGCGAGCGAGTGTGTCTGAGCGAGCGAGTGTGTCTGAGCGAGCGAGTGTGTCTGAGCGAGCGAGCGAGCGTGCGAGCGAGCGAGTGTGCGAGCGAGCGAGTGTGCGAGCGAGCGAGTGTGAGTGAGCGAGTGTGAGTGAGCGAGCGAGTGTGAGCGAGCGAGTGTGAGTGAGCGAGTGTGAGTGAGTCTGAGTGCTCATCTGCCCTGATTCCAGCGCCCGGCCCCGCATCCGCCCGGCCCAGTCCTCCGAGCACAGCGGCAAATGGTCATGTCAGGTGTGCACTTACCTGAACTGGCCCAGAGCGATCCGCTGTACCCAGTGCCGCAGTGTCCGGCAGCGCGTCTACAGCCCCACAGAAACCCCACAGACGTCCGGAACCGGCCCTCCAGCGGATCCGTGTGAGGAATACAACGACCGGAACCGACTCCACACACGAGCGCAGTGCTGGACCTGCTCGGTCTGCTCGTACGAGAACTGGCCCAAATCCTCTCGCTGCATGGTGTGTGACCACCCCAGACCCAACGACGCCTTCCAGCCGCATGAGCCTGAGGAGCCCTCGTCCGTGATTAACGAGCGGGACAGCGGCCGAGCGTGGGGCGTGTGCAGCGGGGCGCAGCGGCTCTCGCCTGCCTCCTCCAAACATGAGGCGGAGCTGCAGATCGAGCTGGCCGCTGGAGCTCAGAGCGGGAACGAGGAGATCGAGGTGGACTTCAAGAAGCTCAAACAGATCAAGAACCGCATGAGGAAGACAGACTGGCTGTTTCTCAACGCCTGCGCTGGTGAGTGCCTCTTTACTCGCTCTCAGGGGCCTCCTAAGGTGTCTTTATACACTCAAGGCTGCTCTGTGCCAGCTCAGAATTCAGTGTTAAGACATAATGCTGCGTAAAAGCCAGAGAAAATGATGCCTGCTCTGACCCACCTTAGTATCACAGTACACATTGTGTAAATGCATTCATGCAGTCTCTGAGCAGCATGTGTAAAGACACTTAAATGCCACGTCAGAAGCGCTTCTGTGCCATCTTTGTAGTGTAGGTTTGGCATTAGTCTCGTATAGCCAGACTTTTGTGTTAATCAGTGTAAACTCTGTAGTTTATTCTGCTGAAGAAATGTCGCATGCTAGTTCACTTGTGGCAGATTATAGTCATGCAAGCACAGCTCCTGTCTATGTGGATGAGGAAAGAGTTTTCATCTCAGCCTGAATTACCAACAATTGTTTTTGTTGTTCAAACGTTAGGTGAGACATTGTAGACGTCGCATTAACAAAAGCTGAAGCATCTTCCGTAATTTGAAACTCTTAAAACGCCGCGTTCAATTAACTCGGTCTTTATTAAGGTTTTAATGTTGTCTTTTAAACGTTTATCATGGCTAACCAAATTAATTTTATAGTGGCCTGCAAGTTCTACTAGTTGGTCCTTAGTCAAATCATTTAACAAATCTTCAGACGGAGCACTAACAAATTCTTCCACCTTTGAGGCCATTGTGAAAGACAAAAAGTATGGCTACTTTTCCCAAAAAAACTTGGTGTAGAAATTAGATAAGCAATTCCCTCTAACTAAATTTCAAAACTATCTAAACTCATCCCTAATCTTCGTACAGTTACTTGCAGCGGGTTTTTATACACTGTAAACCAGCGTTTGAAATAGCGACCGATTAATGAGTCACCATTACAAAACACGGACGTGTTCCTGAGACAACTGCTCTAACTGCTTTCACCGTACAAACAAAAACTAAAATAAAAAAAGATCGGAGCATCCCGTTAAGGATACTCCGCTAAACCTAAACAGGGA